AGATGAAGAGGCATTGGGGCTTGTGGGATGGGGTTGAGAGCACTGGTTGGGGAGGAATAAGGGGCTGGGGAGGCAAAAAATAGCCCAGTGCGGGAGAAGGTGGGGAAGTGAAAAGAGCAGCCCTGAGGCTGGGGCCAGGGGCTGGGTTTTCCCTGAGAAAGTGGACAGCAGTTTCATGTACTGGTTTGCAGAGGTGCACCGATATATCAGTGCCATATTGGATTGGTACCAAAGAAAAGAAAATTAAGATTTTTGGCTATCAGCTTTTTTTGGTTTAGCTGATAATGTTAACTGATAAATATAATATGCTTTCTGGCTGGGGTCCTGGATGCCAAGTGCATGCATGGCCAGGAATGCAGCTGGGTAGCATGGAGAGCAGCAATCTGCAGGTAAGTCTGGGAAGAGGGTGTGGGGGAGGGAAGGGGCATGGGGGGTGCAGATTGGGGCCTCCACGGTGAGGGAAGGAGTAGGAAAGAGGCTGGGGCTGGGGGTGCTGCCCAGCCAGGGCAGTGAATGGGACCTGATGCTGTGGTGGCGAACAGGGAGCTGTGGGCGGCTCATCCAGGGAGGAGGGGGGCAGCTCCCTGCTGCTGTGTGCACCCCCCAGGTGAGGCATGGGGGGGCATGTGCCTCCTCCAGACTTGTGTGTGTGGTGGATGCGGGCTGCCTGTTGTAGCCTCGGGGCTTTCCACTTTGCTGCCTTTCTCTTGGAAACCCTGCGCCAGCCGTGTACCCCTTGCCCGCCTGGCAGCAGTGTGAGCGGTGAGTTGTGCCTGCCGCTGCTGCATGGGCAGGGGATATGTGGCCAGCACAGGGCTCCCAAGGCAAAGGTAGCAGGGTGGAGAGCCCTGACCCCACAGTGATCAGCTGCATCTGCCCTTGCCCCGCTCAACTCTGGTTAAATGTGTCCTGTGCTTAAAAATGGTGGCAGTGGCACTTGAACTAAAGCTCATTCACTGAGCTTTAGTTCAAATCCCTCTGCCACCATTTTAAAGTGCTGGGACACTGATCCCCTGGACAAGCTGTCCGTGGCTGTGCCCTGCTTCCTGCCCCCACCCTGGGTTCCTTTCACCATCCTGGCTGGGCACAGCCCCCAGGCCCTGCCTTTGCCTCTGCCCCTGCCTCACTCCCTCCTGCACCACTTCCCTCCCCCATGTTCCTTCCCCTCCACATACTTGCCTGCAGGGAGCTGCTCTCCACGCTGCCCTGCTGCATTTCTATAAATCAGTTATTGGATCAGTATTGGCCAACATGCCAGGTGAATAATCAGCTATCAGTATTGGCCAAGAAAATCTTTATTGGTACACTCCTATCTGTTTGATCTAAATAAAATGAGCCTGATATTACATAGATCCAGGTTCATCTTAAACTGGGTTCTGCCATTTTTTAGACAGGTGTGTATGCATAGAACTTCTGTTCTGTTACAAGTTTGGACTGATGCTGGTCACTGAAACTGTGTCTGTATGTGGAAGGTTGGCACCCGGGATGAGCTAAGTGTAAATTGGGTTACCATTTTGAACCCGATTTAACCTCCCAAATGTCTGTACCTAGCTTTAATGTACAACTGTAATATTATGCAGTGTCTCAATTTGAGCTGAAAACTGTAGTGTTGGTGGGTTTTTGGGGGTGGGATATTTGTCAATGAAACAAAGAAGAAACTCATCTCTCCTCTCTCCTGTCTTGGAGGAGAGCAATTGAAAACATTCCATCTTGACACAGAGATAATCAGTTAATCCAGCAGCAAATACTGAGGAAACGAATCAGAAAAGTGACTTGTAATCAACAGAACAAAAAGAGCACTGCAGGGAAGTGGAGCATCTACTATAGGAACTTGTTTGTACAGTAGCTTGAAAATAAGAAGGAAATTCTAGAGTATACAGAGATTTTATTGGGACTATTATCTCTCTGAGCGAGTGTTGATATAAACCAGGGATGTTCACCTTTGGCCTATGGGCCAAATAAGGTCCATGGTGGCTTGGAATCTAATCCATGGGGATCCCCACAGGTTGGGAAATTTAGCAGAAAGAGAGCAGTTGCATTCAATACGGTCACCCCCCCCAGACCAAATTCCAAAATTTCCAAACCCGAAGCCCTGCACAGCAGGTTGGAGCTGGGCCACATCCCTCATGCCCCATTCCTTTCCCGTGGCTGGATTAGAGCTGGGCCATGCTGCTTCACATAGCCGGATGGGTACCGCTGCAATTGCCCTAGGCACCGGATCAGGAGCACCATCCAGATCCAGCCTGCAAATAAACTAGGCACTGCCCATCTGGTCAACTGGTCAGAAAGGTAGAGTATCACTGATATAAATCATTAGTATTAGGAAGAAAAGGAAGGGTAGGATAAAGTCTGTTAGAGAAAGTATTGGGTCATTAGTGAGTTGTCGTAGTCACCATTTTATCTGTTTGTTTTTGTCATGCTTATCCTGATTGCTATGGGATTATCCCATGTTGTGCAGATCTCTCTTGTGGAGTTTCACAGGGTCATGAAATCACCTTCGGGGCCCTTGAATATCACCATATCATAACATTGCCTCACAGCAGTGTTGTGCAATATGATCTGATTTGTGGCCTGGGGAGCAGGTTAGTCCAAATTTTATTGTTAACCTCTGTCTTGGAAGCTGGCATTCCTGTTTTTCTCTAGAGAGATTATCTTGCTGCTGATTAACTCCTCCATCTTAAATCACAGGATCACTAGAAAGTTTGATAAATAAGATTACAGATGAAGAGCCAGGTATTCATCTGACATAAACAGCCCTTAAAATTTGATTTAGAGTTTCATTAGATGGAATCGGGAAAGTTGTTGTGCAGGTCTTTTACTAGGAAGGAAACTTGTTCTGCTGGAATGACATTGTTGGTTCTGTGCTTCCTTTCAGAAATAAAACTTTCCTGTGAGATTGGTGGCAGGTGGCTCCAGGTGTAGCAGGAGCTCTGCACATCAATATTAGCATGGCCCTCAACAGTTCATGGTTGGACTGGGTAGCTCAGATAATTTTAATAAATACATTATTGATCCCAAGGTGCACCCCCCCCACACACTTTATTATCAATAGCAAAAAAACCGTTCTGTCCTGAGGGGATAGTAGCTCAGACACAGGTTGATAATGATCACAGCCATTGTTTGCTTTCAGATTCTTTCCTTGACCCTATTGTGAGGTCCTGGGGCTGGAGGATGAGGGAGACCTACAGAAAACAGTCATGGAAGCACACTGGGAGTGATTTACAAAACCAGGTATCTCGGGTATCCTCTCAAACAGTGGTTTTCAACCTTTTCTCATTTGCAAACCCCTAAGCAATTTTGAATGGAGGTGCAGACCCCTTTGGAAATTTCAAATGGAGGTGCGGACCCCTTTAGATTATAAGTGTGGGTATTAACATATTTTTGATTTAGCATGCTTATTTTTCATGAGCCCCTTAGACATAGTCCGCAGGCTCCCAGGGGTCCATGGACTGCAGGTTAAAAACCACTGATTTAAAATAAACGTGATTCATAAGACTTAAGTGATACGTAGCTAGAAACTTCCAATGTACAAAACTGTCCGTCTCCACTTGGTTGCTGGTCAAGAGTCTCCTTGAAGTACATGAAACACAAGAGC